GCTTTGCGTCACGGCGGGAGGATGACGCTGCCGGGCTCGGGGAGCTGGGGGGGGACCATAAGGCGGATGGGGCTCCACCGATGGCGAGAGCATCCCTTTGGCCCATCCTCATCATGTCGTCGTCCCCCCCCACCACCACCTCCACCTCCTCCTCCTCCCTGGGGATGTCCACCCAGAGGGGTCACATCCAGCTCCAGCTCCTCGCCGGCCGGGGGTGCGGAGCCCGGGGCTGGGCACGCTGCCGGAGGCGGCCTGGAAGCCGGGGCGATGCTTGGGGTGGCCGAGGGCATAGCATCACGTCAGCCATGCCGACCAAGGTTAGGGCGGGGGGCTGCGAGACGAAAGGGACCAGATGGTCAGTTTTCTCTTTGCTTGGTTGGTTTTCTTTTTTAAAACATCCTTAATTTTTACAGGGAGGTTTAGGAGGGTTGGTACGGAGACCTCAGGTTCCCAAAAATCCCTCTCCATGTCCCCCCGCAAGGGATTGCTGGTCCGGAGCTGGAGGAGTCGGTCCCGCAGCCGGTGTTGGGGAAACGCGAGGCTCCCAGGCTTTCTCCTCCACCACACCTCCCTCTTATCAGCGCCGCTCCTGGGAGCGGTACTGCCATCTCCAGGGGGAATAAACTCTCCAGGAGGAAGGGGTTGGTGCCCTGTGTCCTGGCGGGTGCTGGTGTCACGGAGGGGGCAAAGCTTCCATCAAGACGGGGTTTTAGAAGACCCTGCCCTGGCAGGGAGGGCTGGGTTTGCCGCGGGAGAGGGATCCGGGATGTTTGGTTTGCGCGGGAATATCGGATGGAGAAGGGGAAGGGGCGTTTGCAATAAGGGCTCCAGGTTTGGCTGGTCGGACCGGGGCAGGGGGAAGGCTGCCCTCGGAAGCCAAAAATGTGGAAGTTCCTCTCTTTTCGTGGGTGAGCGTTGGCTGGGGCTGGGACATCCACTTCCAGGTCCTCTTCCCGCCACCGCTTGGTCCTCCTTGGGACCATCAGGATGTCCTCTGCGTGCTCTGCTCTCCCCTCTTGCCAACACCAAGCGGGAGGAGCTGCTCTTCTGGCCGCTCCCCGCTCGCCGGGAGATTAGGGTGGGGGCTTCACCTCTCTCCTCTCCTCTCCCTGCTGGCCTTGGGATGTCTTCTGCTCCTTAGGATCGCCGCCGTTCCCTCCCCAGCCTCCCCCAGAAGAGCCAAACTGGTTTTCCTGGGGGGGGGTTTCAACCCAGCTGCCATTTTCACCAGAATTATTTCCCCCCCTGGCGCTGAAGGAAGAGGGTGGGTTTGCTCCAGGGGAGGAGGGTTTTGAAGACCACCCCTCTCCCGGCGTTCCCGCAGCGGTGGCTTTGTCATCAGCCTGCCCTGGCGCGGCGCAGCGAGGACCTCGATGACGCCAACCCTCCAAAGAGCAGCATTGTTCCCCAAACGCCCCGGCCGCCCACCGTTTCGCTCGCGGCGCTGCCGTCGCTTGCGGTAATGGGGGCTTCTCGCTGCGGCTCTGGGTCAGGGGCGTCATTTGCAGCGCGTGGAGCAATCCCTCCTGCGATCCGCTTGACCCCGGTAGGAATCCCAATAGGATCGGGGCCAGAAATGATGATGAGACCCAGTATAGCATGAAAGGGAGGGGGGCAAAGCTACAGCCGGTGTCGGTGCTCAGCTCAGTAACTCCCGGCTCGCCTGCTGTTGAGTGTCGGCGCTGGTAAGTTTGGGATTTCATTTTGCCGCCGGAGAAGGCAGGGGAAAGCTGGAATTCGGGGCTGAGCCACCCTGCAAAGCCAGCGCGTGCTCGTTCTCGTGGGTCTTCCCCCTTGCAAAAAAAAAAAACCCCACCAGCCCGGCATCCCTCGCGGTGGGTGCTGGAAACGGCATCGCGTAAAGTGTGATGGGTCAGATGTGGAGGAAGGAGAAGCCGAACCACACGCTGCCACCGCGTCCCTCGGGGCGACATTCCCATCGTCTCGGGGCATCTTTTCCCATCTCGAGTCGTGGCGTCGGCTCCGGTCTCTGTCCGGTTTGCATCTCCAGCGCAGCGTTTGGGCAGCTGGAGGCCCCAGGGGACTCCCCGGCCAAGCTGGGGTGCGCCCGGTGAGGTTCCCCACCTCACCTTAGGGATAGGATGTATTTCTATCGACGTACACGTGGACGCGCGTGTTGTCTTAAGGCCGAAGGTGGTTTCTGCATTGCCCCGTTTATTTTCCCATCCCTCTTCAGAAGAGGAGAAATCATGAGAAATTTGGGCCAGGGGAGAGTTGCTTTTGTTTTGGCAAAGCGGAGTTGGAGCTGTTGGGGATAAAGGAGTCCCGTAAGTACGGCTCCCGGGAAAAGCTCCCGCCGGCTGCTGGGAATGCGAGTCGGGGGTGTATAACGCCCCAGCACCTTTCAGATTCCTCCTGGCGCTGTTGGTGGCAGATCCAGCCCAGTTCCGCCAGTTCCCTCCTGGCTGGTGCTCGCCCGGCTGCTCTGTGGGATTCCCATCCCGAGTTTGGGAGCTTCTGGCTGCCACGTGCTGGGGGTCCGGGCTGGCCCGTAGGGGGTGCCCGGGGCGAGCTGGTACTCCTTCCAAAACCGCCTGCTGCGGAGAGACCCCTCGGATGAGCCGGGCTCCTTCGGCTCATCCCAGGAGAGGAGCTTGCTGCCACCGCTGAGCCTCATGTCGCCGATAAACCCCGGCCCTTCGCTTCCTCCCGTCGGAAGTCATTAACGCTGACGAGCTTTTCTGGCCGAATAGCTCCCGGTAACTCCGTGCCGCCACCTGACATCCAACACCGCCGCCTGCCCGTGCTCTGGGCTCCGGGAGCCGGCCTTCAGCCCTCCCTCACCCTCCTCTTCCTCCTCCTTGCGCTGTCATCGCCATCCTCCCCTCTTGCCAGGATGGAAACTCCTCCGTTTTGGGGTGTGCCTGGGTGGGAGTGGGGTATTTTGGGTGGTACGTGGTGCGTGCGGTGCTGCCCCATCTCCCGCGGGGACCCGTATGGGACCAATGGGGTCAATACGCAGCAGAAAGCAAAGCTGCTTCCATTAGCGCGGTGTTCAGGAACCCCTGTCCCACACAGCTTGTAAAAATAATACGTTTTGGGTGGTGGTTTTTTTTTCCGCTCACCTTCAGGGCTTTAAGCCCACCGGGAGGCCGTAGGTTGGGTTTTGCCACTCTGCTCCGTCAGTGCTGGGGTTGGAAGAGTTTCTTTCTTGGTTTCTCACGGTTTCGGGTGTGTGCGGTGCCTGTGCTTTGGGAGGGGAGCGCGCTCTTGTGGGGTAACCCCGCCGTGTTACGGGACCGTGGGCTGTGGGGAGCGGCGGGAGCATCTTGGGACCCCCCTGGACTAAACCCTTCTCCTCTGCTCTTCTGCAGCCATGTGAGACTGGCCTTACTGGGTGAGCTGGTCGGTGTCCTGTGGCACATCGAAGTGTCAGCCCTCGATGCGGGTCTCGCTCGTTGGCTGGGTTCATACAGCCGGATTCGCTGCTCCACGGCGGAGCTGCAACCCCGAGAGGACGCTGCAACCCGGTCTGAACAGGAGTTTGCCACCTGTAAAATCCCCCTTTCGTTCCCCTTCTCCCTTCGAAAAGTCTCCCCAAGCCCCAAGGCCAATTTTCCTCTGCCAGCACTCCTAGCACACGCTCCCATACATCTCCCCGAGGGTTTGCCGAGCTGTGCTCGGCCCTGGCCCGCGCACTGAGGACCGTATAGCTCCCACGGGGACCGGGGATGCTCTTCGGGTGCTCTTCCTCCTCCTCCTCCCATCTCACTGCACGCCCCCTCCTCTCTCCCACAGGCCACCAAGCAGTTCCTGGAGGAGATCAACAAGTGGACAGGCCAGTACAATGTGTCCCCGCTCTCCTGGAACGTGGCCGTCAAGTTCCTCATGGCCCGCAAGTTTGACGTCCTGCGGGCCATCGAGCTCTTTCACTCCTACCGGGTAAGCGCGCGGCGCCGGGTTCCCCCCGGCTCCAACCGAGGGCTTTCTGCGCTGCGAGAGATCTCTGGTCCCAAGGAGGACCCTCCCCTTGCCTTTTTTTCTTTGCCCACCCTCCCTTATGGGTTTTATCCGGCTGGAAAATCCTTTTTCAGCCAAGGCGGGTCACCATGGAGATCTCACCGACCCCAATCTCCTCCATTCCGGCATGCGTGCTCGCCGGGTGCCCTCCCGGCTGCCCCGCAGAGCATCCCCCCCTATATAAAGTGTATATATTCATATATACCATTACCCATCTTGGTTTTGCAAAGCTGCTTTTCCCCACGCTGGGAGTCGCGGCGCTGCAGCCGGTTGCAATCCCCCGCTGGAAAACGGGGCTACGGAGTGGAGGTTTCCCCGCTGGGGCTTCCCTCGGGGATGTGGGGGGGGGCGGGTGCCCCACAGGGATGTGATGGTGGGTGGAGGGTCGGGGCGCCCGTGCCGGCCGTCACGCCGGCTCTCTGCCCGCAGGAGACGCGGCTGAAGGAGGGCATCGTGAAGCTGAAGCCGCACGAGGAGCCGCTGCGCTCGGAGCTGCTCAGCGGCAAGTTCACCATTCTGGTAGGTGGAGGTGTCCCCCTCTCCCCGAGGATGACCCCAACCGGGCGGCTCGTCCCAGGCGGGAAATCCTCAGGTGCTGCGGGAGCCTGATTTTGTTTCCTCGCCAGAGCGTGCGGGATCCCTCGGGAGCCTCCATCGCCCTCTTCACGGCCAAGCTGCATCACCCCAGCAAGAGCGTACAGCACGTGGTGCTCCAGGCGCTCTTCTACCTGCTGGACCGAGCGGTGGAGAGGTGAGCCGGGCTACCGTGTCCTACGGCGGTGGATCCCCGGGGAGCCCCTTCCCTCCCTGGGGTGGGGGGAGATGCTGCTGTGCGCTGTGGTTTCGATGAAATCCCTCCGAAAGGTTTTGCGGGGAAAAGACGTGCCGTCTCTCCCGTGAAGGTGAAATTGTGGCTGAGCGTCTGTGTGCCACCGGGTGTCCCGTCTCAAGTTAGGGGAGAGAAAGGGGGTCACAGCTCCCCGTGGCTTGAAATTCCCTCTCTTCCCTCGGTTTGAACTCAAGCCAGCCATCCCTGTGGCGGCGTTCAGCAAGGGAAACAAATCGCGGGCTCTTCGCAGCCTTTCCCTGCCCACGTGCGGGTTTCGGTTTAGCAAAGCCCCCCGATTCCTGCAGCCTTTGGCCGGGGAGGAGGGCAGCCCCGCCGCCGGCGAGACGTAATGCGAACCCTGCCAAAAATACAAAGCTGAGACATCCCATTCATCCCGCTGGGCTCTTTCCATTTCGGAACTTGCCCATCACAGGCGGTGCAGCTGAGACAGGCTCAAGGCACGGGCCAGGCTTAAATAAGGGTTGTAGGAAGAGGTGGCGGAGCAGCTGGGAAATGCAGAAGCGAGTTTTGGGGGTTCTGTGAGTCCTTCTGGAAGCACAGAAGGGGATTTTTGGGGGTCAGCAAGCTGCAGCTGGGGTTAGCGTGGGGCAGATCTCATGCGGGAGCCGGGCAGGTGGATGTCGCCGGGGTTGACGTTGGTCTTTCCCTTCTCTCAGCTTTGAAACCCAGAGGAACGGGTTGGTGTTCATCTACGACATGGCGGGTTCGCAGTACACCAACTTCGAGCTGGACCTCAGCAAGAAGATCCTCAACCTGCTGAAGGTAAACAACCAGGGGGTGACGCCGTGTCCGGACGTGTCACGCGGGTGTACGTGAAGTCCCAGGGTTTTGGCGTAAATTCTCGTGCCAGACCACGCTGACCACATCTCAGCCGAGGAGCACCAGCTCCAGCCCCGTAGGAGCTCAGGAAGGCGTTGGGAGCCTGCCAGGCTGGACCCGGCCGGGGCCACCGTGTCCCGCGCGGGTGTGGGAGGGGATCAGCTGTCCCCGTGCCGGATTCCTCTCGCAGCTGCTGGCAGCGCTTTTGGGAAAACAGATGCAAATTATTTTTTAATCGTGCTGGCATTCCGTGCCTCCTCCCTTCTCCGGAAGAAAAAAAAAAAAAGAAATTACAGTAAATACTGGTCGGGGTGTGTTCTCCGCGCAAATCCCTGCTGCCGGGCTTCACCTCTCCCCCGTGGAGCCAAACCTTCTGCCTACCTAATTCCAAGAAAATAATTTGTTTCCCTATCGGAGCATAAAAATAAGCGCGGCTGTGCGCCGGGCACGCTTCGGATGCGGCGCTGCCACCTCCGGGTCCCTTTTGCTGGGACGTGCGTCCTCCCCTCTCCGGCAGAGCGCGGAGAGGGGTCGGCGGCGTGGATCTGACCCCTCTCCTGCCCGCAGGGTGCCTTCCCGGCTCGGCTCAAGAAGGTTTTCATCGTGGGAGCGCCCATGTGGTTCCGCGTGCCCTACTCCATCATCAGCCTGCTGCTGAAGGAGAAGCTGCGGGAGCGGGTGAGAGCGGGTGTCCCCCCTCAAATCCTCAGCACGGGACCCTCGGTGGGGAGGGCTGAGGCTGTTTTCCCTTTGGGGTAGGGTGGTGTAAGCGGCTTGTGCCCCCCGGTCCTGTCCGCTGGAAGCTGCTGAGCCCAAATCCCTGGGAAATAGGGGCTTTCTCAGCCTGTTTTGGTATTTTCAGCAAATATCTTGAACCCCTTTTGAAATCGCCTGCACTTTGCCTCTATGCTTTTGGGAGGAGGTCGGAGCCGCTTGCAGATTCGGAGCTGGGTGTCGGTGTGGGGTACGCGGCGGGGACCACCCCCTGCCCCAGCGCTGGCGTTTCCCTGGGTGGGAGGAAGGGGGAAGACCCCGATGCTGTTGGGGGAAAACTCCAGGCCCCATTGGGACCGCACCAGACCGTTGACATCCCTGTCCCCAGAAAACCCTCTCCATCCTTCTGGGAGTCACCGCTTCTCCTCCTCTTCCTCCCGCAGGTGCAGATGGTGAAGATGTCGGAGCTGAAGGAGCACCTGCCCCGGGAATGCCTCCCCGAGTACCTCGGGGGGTCCCTCAAGCTGGACCCTCTGAGCTGGAACTGCCGGTTCCTTCCCCAGCAGAACGGGCACCCCGACCCCCTGGATGAGCTCATCCTGGTGCCGCTGGTGGCCCCCAAAGATAACGGCTCTGTCCACGTCCCCGGGCCCAAGTCCGTCACCCTCCAGGAGCTGCTGGATCACGTCGGCCGTAAGCAGAAGCGGGGCATCTACGAAGAGTACGAAGATATTCGGCGCAGGAGCCCGGCCGGCACCTTCGTCTGCTCTTTGTGAGTTGGGGGGGGCAGGAG